CCCCTCCTCCCCCCCCCCCCGCCCCCCAAAGCGGCTTACTTACACTTCTATAACCATGTTAGGAGCACAAGTGAAAGTTCAGTTTTGAAAATACTGGCCCCTAGCTTTTGCATTTGACACTGACTATATTAAATATAAGTTGTGTTTATTTTCAACTTTAAAAAGAAATCACAAAGCAGTATAGAAATTGTATTTTTCATGACAGTTTTTTTCTTATTAAGAGAGAAGGTGGACACTCCCAAGATGAAAACTAGAATTTCATTACTGCTGTAAAGTTGACAGTTACACAGGTGTTAGATAAGACAGCACAGTAACACTGTTACAGTCTCAAAGCCTGAAATCTTTTTCTAGGGGACAGTCACAACAATCAGATAGCAGGGAGCACTGGAGTAGATGATCAGTGGACAAATCCTACTTCTCTAATTAATCAGATATTACCTTGCAGGCATACTATACAAGATTACAGTTCTTGATCCCAGTGTATGAAACATATTAATTCTCCCACCTTTTTGCTACTACAAACATTAAAAACAAAATAAACATTTTTCATCTCTTTACTGAATGGTCAAATTTTCAGCAGTGACTCTTCTGCACTGCAGAAGTTTTCACACTGCTTGCTGCTTCAATGAATGTCAAAACAACATAGACTTATATAGCAATAGGTGAATTTGATCTTTTCTTGAACATAGTGGGGACTGGAACCAGAATACCCTGACTGCCTTTTCCAAAAGGCTGATCAAAAGGAAAAAAACACAATGCCAGGAGTCAACGACTCTTACACATTTAAAAAAAAACAAGTGTTCTCTGGGGTTCATTTCATAAACGAATTTAGAGTGTGTATATGAATGTAGAATGCAGCAAAAATTGCTGAAAAGCCTTTAAGATTCAAAGCAATGCAGCCCCCCTCCCACACCAAGTGGAATTATCTCTAGTCCCTAAACAGAGGTTTGGCAGAGGGAGAAAAGAGGTCAAATTTTTGCAGTGTTTCAGTGAAACCTTTCCTCTCATGAGAGCAGCCCCAGCCAATGTCTTTTTTGCCTCTCACTTGATGACCACAAGGCTTGAGCTTCATTAGGAACTGTTTACCCAAGAGTATTTAGCAAACCTGTTCTTTCCAGTTGTCATTACTAGTAGAGTACTCACACTGGATTTATAGCAGAATCTATCTCTAACTTTTGTGTAAACAGGCCTGCAGGCTTCTGCTAAAGGCTGGAGCAGATGCTTAATAAGTATCCAGTGTGCTCTTAATCATCAGTAAACTTAGCTTAGACACTGCATTTAAATTCTGGTTATTTTGATGCAACACAAGAATAAAAACACTTCATTTCTAATAATTCTTAATCTCTTAAATGTCTAAGTGGATTTTACTCCAACTGCTAAGACTGGGCTGTGAGCAGAAACAAAAACATTAATAATTTTGGCCTAAATAAACACCCAGAATGATGAAAAAGTCATTAACAGCAGAAAGTTCTAACTAGCTGGCAAAGAAGGTAAAGTTGTAACTTCAGATTGCTGAAATCTTCCAAGGTTCAAGTGGCTCAGAACCTTTTGTATTTCTGATAAACTAAATGCTCCTGAACAGATAACTCTGTTCATCAAATTGAAGTCTGATTTTAGAATGAAACGCGAGTTATAGAAAAACCTCACAAGAATCAGATCAAAGGCATTATGACTTACAATATTAGGTGCAAGGAAGAAAATTCATAAGTTTTGGCCCTCTGAAAAGTGTTCTGGTGATCCCCCCCTCCCCTGCTCCACATGCAAAAAATCCTGTGTAGAACGCAAGATTCAAGATGGAATGCAAGCCAAATGTTTTCACAAGGATTTTTCTTTGGGGTTTGGATTTTTGTTGTTGTTGTTTTGGGGTTTTTTGTTTGGTTGGTTTTGTTTTGTTTTTTTTGTTTGTTTAGGTTTAAGTGAAAACTCTGCAGATTGGTCAGATCTGAAACAGGTATGGTCACTCTTGGCAAAAAGACTAACTCAATTATTCCTCATTTTCTACCCATTTGAAGTATGTTTTCCAAAACTAGCAATGCATGGAAAAAGCTAGTCAGAAGAGGAGTATTCAAATTATGTAAAATGACTGCACAATCTGGTGATCAGTTATGTTCATACAAAAAACTTCATTCACTAAGTAGAATCATACCAATACCATACGTAAATTCTTTGCTCAGCAGCATGTGGAGATAACAGCCACCTCCTTAGAACATTATTTTATCCCTTGAGGTCAGTTGCTGTTAAAAGTAAAATCTTTTTGCACAATTTTTTGCCCAACACTTCATTATTCTGTTATTAATAGTTGTTTATGCAAGTGATGGGTTTTGGTGGGTTTGGGTTTTTTTTGTTAGTTTGGGTTTTTTTAAGATTGCAGTGATATCAAAACCAATGCTTCCTACTATAGGAAGGTTGTAGGATTTTTCTTGTTTCAGTCTAATCAACACATTTTCTCTAAAAGTTTTCTTCCACATAACCATGCTGGAGAATGATGTCTGAGATTGGTCTCTGAAATTGTGAACCTTAGAGACACACTGCTATGTAAACTCCTTAATAAATGTCAAGTGAGATATAGTTCTTTAGCTACAGCCAGAAACCATCAATCTTAACATTGCTATCTTAGGAGACTATAATTATATAGTTATGGTAGGTAAACATTTTTATGATGTCACAGTACTAGTAAATATTCACGTGGAACTACATTACTAATCAACAGAAATGATGAAACATTATGTGAACAGCTGTGAACATTATCTAGGAAAGATGTATTCTTCATCAGAAAAGTATTTCTAAGGACTTTTAGCATACAAACGCTTTTTCAGAGAAACTTGCAATTTCTTCTCTGGAAAAGAAGAAATTTCACACAGGAAGGAGATTGAATGGTTTCTGATCATAGACTAACTGATGTTGATAAACACATCACATCTCCCAATCCTCTGCTCCACACACTAGAATAATAGTTATTTTGGGTCAAACTTGTCTTCTACATACCAAGACTGCTGTCACATTGGTTTGGAAGATACAATCCTTCAACTTTTAAACAGCCTTTTATGAAAGTGTTCTTAGATTTGTATCGGAGATTTTTGAAAATGCATTTGAGAATTTCTTCTCAAAGCAGAAAGTTTGAGAAGAGACAGTCACATGGTTTTGCAAATGCATTTCAGGGAAAGAGCAAGATCAGCCACCTTGTTTTTCAGGTTACAACCCATATGCATCACTTCAATGTGATTATGCGCTTGCAGCCTACTTTTAAGAAGCACAGAAGAGATTTGATCATCCTTTCCAGCAACATTTAGTTATGTTACAATTTTAAAATATTATTGCCTTTCAGTAACACAACAAAAGTCACATCAATACCAAATCTGTACTTGCTGTGTAGGAAAACAGACTATTTCTAGTTTAAAGAATACCTTGTATAAATTCCATTTGCTATTAGCTTTCTAAAAGAGAAACACAGAACCTAGTAAGTAGATTATTCAGGCACACTTGTATTCATCAATGTTTGCAGATTCTCAGCATATCCCAGGACTTGTACTTGAACTATGAACTTACAAATGCTGAAGGCAAGAAAAGGACTCCAAGTTCATAAGAACGGATCATCAGTTGGGTGCCATTTTTTTCCAGGGCTCCCCAGGCTGCTTTAGATAGATTGGCACTACAAAGAGAAACAAAGCATTTCAACAAGGCATAATTTTCACAGCAGAAAATGCTTAAGTACCACAGCTGTAGCAATGCACTTCTAGCAGGAGAACTTCAATCAGAACAGTCTTTTCAGAAAAAGTGATCTGGGTGTTATTCCTTATTGCTATTTTTACAGCACAGTGGGAGCAGTAGAGACAATATGTAAGAGGGTATTCATACAACACATGTGGATAATTATACAAGCCTCCTTGTGTCATACAGATCTAGAAGACAAATTCAGCCTTCCGAATCTTCTCTCCAGATTTCAGAAAGGAACTTGGTATTTGTAAATAACTTCAATTTCATGACTTGGATCAAACACCAGCTCAATTATGACTAGTTACATAATACATTTAGTACAAAGGATTTTTGCAAGTGTTAAACAATCATTTACTCCTAGCATTTTGTTCTTTAATATATTTATGAAAACAAGTATTTATCAAAGAGGTATTTTTGTTTCAATGTGCTATTCAGCACCATGTTGTAGTTAATCCTTCATCAGTATCTTCTGTGAAGTAGATCAAGTTGGGAGTCAATACCAAATACAATTCTGTTGTCAAAAATACAAAGAGCAAAGTACAAAGCTTCAACATTATGTTTTAACTGACAGACATACTAGATGCTTTTTGATAGTAGCAAAGGGTAGACTAGAAGAAACATGAGAAAAAATAAAAGCAACCATGAATTTCTGTATTAGGTGGACTCAGCATCACATTTGAATGACTTAAATCCTTTAAAAAAGCACCTTAGTCATTACTACTATTGCAGGCAACAGTATTGAGTAATAGAATTTAAAAAGCCAGAATAAAAAGAGGAAAAAATAAAGTAACTGAGCATTTAAGAGTAAAGATAGAAAGATCATAATCTATAGTACATATGGTTGCACAAAAATCAGTTTTGGCAAAACTGAAACCTATCTGTATTTTTTCATTCACAATAAGACCTTCTCCCTCATGCCAAGAAATTTCTTGCTCCCTCTTTTGGCTTCTTTAAAAACAAAGAACAGAAATGCAAACCTAGACTTCAAGCTAGACTGCTGAACAACTCAATCTGACAAAAGGTCAGATTTCAAACACTAGGTATCTACATGTTTTGTAACAATAAGGCAGCACAAGGAAAAACTTCAGTTTAACCCACATCTATTTTGTACAAACTAGCACATTCATGTACAGCATGTGTTAAAGAAACTTAACCCGAGGTTTAAAAATACTTATTTCAGTTGATGCTGAACCCTGAAATTGGCAGTTACAGCTCAGGCAAGATTTTGGTGTGATTGCCAACAGTTCCTGGCATAATCATTTCAACGTGCAGCCCCAAAAGGGGCAATGCAATGAAGAAACAAAATATGACCAAAAATTCCTATCACTACTTATAGTAGTATGAAGATTATGGCATTATATTTTTGCACCTGGGCCTGCAACTGACAAGAACTTTATATATGACTAAGTGAGAGGTGTATGGTTAGTTGTTTACCTTGTAACTAAGAACCATGCAATCTTCTGGAAGTCAGGAGAGGGTCTCATGTACGTCTTAATGTGAGGTATAGCATGACTTCGACCCGAGACTTCTGCTGACCATTTGCTAGAAAAAGAAAAGGAATTATTTTCATATACAGTTTTAGTTTGAGGTCTAAAAACCTCACCATACTACAATGCCATGTTTTGCATAATACCACCCTACACTTGTCACATTTAATACTAATCTCCCCTACAGAAAGGCTGAAAATACTTTAACTGAATTTTTAATCCTGAAATCCAATCTTACTAGTAGTCATAATAGCAGGATTTTTTTTCTTTACAAATATAGACAGACAGATATTCTCCTCAGTGTATCAGGATCTCCTAACAAGTTTTTCCATTCCTCTACTCCAGCTAGCACTCAAGAAACTAAGCCCAAACTTCCAGCCAATATTTCTTCTTTGAAAGCTATCAATGGTTATGCCTTTAAGCAAAGGAGCTTGGCACCAAACTAAACCTCACAAAATTCCCCAAGCTTATTACAATTTATTATGCATGAAGTAGAGGCAGGGAACAATTGATAGATTGTTGACAACTACCCTTCCTCTTCCCTTTTCTGTGCCCCTAAGCCACTAAGAAATTTGAGGGCTTAAGAGAGAAGAGGTCTTATCTATGTGTATATATAAAAACTAGTTTAAAACAACAAGCCATTGCTGGGGTAATTCAGCATCAATGTTACAGAACTAAACTGTAAGCAAGCAGTAAGTATATGTACATAACTGAAGGTATGTAATCATGGTATTTGGAACCGCTTTCCACCCACAGCTGTTAGTCCTCATTCAAAATCAGGAAGAAGGCTTCCAAATACACCTTCCTCCACCCAGAGACTTTTCTTTCCTTAGTTTGGAATACAATAGGCTCTGGTTGTCACAGTCTTGTTTCCCTAATTTAGCATTCTGTTCTAAAAGGCAAATAAAAAAGAATTGATCAGCTCTGAAAAACCTCTTAAGTGAACTGTGTTTGTTTAAAAGCCTAAGAAACCTGAAGTGGAAGGGCTGGAATTATTTACTGAAGTTGACTTCCAGGACTAACTTTCACATTAGTTAAGTCAAGAGGCTTTGCAGTTCAGGGATCAAGACCTACTTACTTTAAACAACCCTATCCTCTGGTAAAGGAACGAAAACTGTTTTTGAGAACTGGTCCTGTAAACCTAAAGGGCAAGAGCTGAAACACTGTATGCATGTTTGAGCAAACTAGACATCTTTATATTTTGATGCAAGCCACACTGAAGTCTGTTTCTGAAGAACAGACTAAGATATGTATGATACAGAAACTTGTGCACCCCTACAGAGCTCTACACTTGCCATACATACAGATTCTAAGTCTATACCATAACTCAACAGCTCTTGTTAATAGCTTTTATGTTACAACTAACAGTTTAGGCAAACATTATCTTTAAGTTTAAGGCACAAAAATAATTAGGTAACTACTGAAATTGTAGAAATGAAGACCAGAAAAAATAGTAGAATTGGGAACTGAACACAGATTTTCTTTAGCTCTATCTTGCTGCCTTACTTGAGGACCAACTTCTCCCCCCACTATTAACTGCAATAATTTTGAGATTAGTATCTCAGTCTACTGCCTTTTTGCCTCCTTATCTTTGACAGATACTGTCTTTTAGCAGTATTACCCCTTCTCTTCGATTTACTAAACATAGTAATCTAACAGCAGTTAGTCTCAATTACAAGTGGTTGAAACTGTTACTCCAGAAGTTAAAATCAGAAAGGGGAGCATACATTTTCGCCACATTTTCTTTAGCAGGACAAAACAAATATGTAAGGACAAAAGGAGGAAAGAAAGTGATTATGTTCTCCAATGAGGTTTCGGGGGGGGGGGGGGGGCGGGTGTTTGGTTGTTGGTGTTTTGTTGGTGTTTTTTTTTTTTAAAAAATTACCTCATTAAAAACTCAGATTCTTTTAGTAAAAGCATTATTAGCAAAGAAGTGTTTAAGAAGTGTTTTCTCTTCAACCTAAAAGTCAGCTTATCTTCAAACTGCATAATGGAATGATAAACCAAAAGAACTGGAAGGGGTTTCAGATGAGTACAATATCTCATTTAATCTATTCTTAATACAGCTAAATTTCAACTTCACCATGGAACTTTCCTGGCATATTTTAGGAAAAAAAAAAGTCATAACAGATTACAAAAAGCCTGAAGTAAAATACAAGAGCAGTTGCTTTGCACAGCAAGGATGAGAGCATACGTCAATATAACAATTTCAGGCTACTTCTAGTCGAATTGACTTAACATGTTTTAAGCTGTAAACTTTTCATCAGAATGCAGCTGGCAGAGCATGTACACAGGACTGATCTCATGTTGCAGTAAACTTCAGGAATATTCAGTATCAGAGATAAATATGGTAAGGTAAATGAAACTAGCTTTGAGAAATGTTATGGAGCAAAACCACAACTTGAAGTAGCTATTTTTCTGACAGCTAGAGGTCATGGTACCATGTAAGCTAAAAGCTCAGGTGTGGTGTGAAGAAAAGGAGTTAAGCAAGTAGGTGTTATCAGAATATGAACAGTAAAACATGAAAGCCTTTTTGCTAGTTTTTTATTCTTTTACACCCCTAGGACTAGAACTCCTTATCACTAATACAGCTTAACACTAACTTTAGACCACTAATCCTGACATTTTTACTAGTAACTTGCTGCTACTTCATCCCTCCCAGTCTTTTGTGGCATTTCAATCAACAGCTTTTCTTTTTTCTTTTTTATTACACAGCCTCTAATGTGATTATTAAGTGCACCGAATTAAAGAGGTAATCTACATTCCAACTCTTAAAATGCAACAGCTTTTGCCCCTCCCATCCCTTTATTTTTCCAATAGCTATTTTTGAGTTTCACATAATTTGGTTTTTTCGGGAAAGGAGAAGGGGAAAAATGTTCTCTACCATGAACAAGGTATCTTTTGCAATATAGAAAATACTCTGGACTCACTTGCACTGCACTAAAAATGTGAATGCTTACAAGTTGTTGCTTTTATATCTACTTAACTACTTGCAAAATTTCTTAAGTATGTTTTAAACATTTGATAAATATTTGTTTTACTCTGTGATGAATTTTTGAGTTTGAAAGGGAGACTACACTGCAATCACAGTGCATGTAGCTGGAAGACATATAGCAAGTATCAATTGCCACCAATGTCTGATATTTCTGGCACAAATGAGGTAAAGGAGCAGACAGAGGCCCCTTTACAAGTGGAGCTAAGAGATGAGGAAGCCAGATAATCCTAACATCCTGAAAATTAATCTGTGCAGACAGTCAGCCCCTAAGCAGAGCCAGGAATAACTCATTTTCTACAATACCACCTCTTTCACCATTTAGTTCTTACTTCAAATAGTGAATGGGCTTTCCATCTCAAGATACTGGCAACAAGGCTTGAGCAGAATTAAAACAACTCACACCAGTAGTCTCAACCATAAGAGAACAGTAGGTCCTTTGTGTAAATGCTCCATATCTCATCTTTTATGATATTAGGGGAACAACACTGTAGTTCTTTGAACTGAGAAGAAAGATGTTCTTCAAAACTCTGCAGACCTAGAGAATACATAAAGCTCTAATACAACTACTTTTGTAGACTTGTCAACAACAAGTCAAACCAACTTCCTCCATTCTTTGAAAATAAAAATTTCACAAGGTAACTGCACAAACATAAGGCACGTGGTATTAAAAGACAATCAATTAAAATGAGCATTAAAATACAATGTTATGTACTGTTAAAGCTGATCAACTGTTTCAAAAGCAGCAATTAACAGAAATCATTAAGCATTACAAATCTCTCCTTATCAATTAGTAATACTGAATACTGAAAGGAAAAAACAGCAACCCTACCAGAGAGAAAACTGAACAAATTGCACCATTTACACAGTAGCTAATCAAAACCAAAAGAGTCTAGGAATCATTTGCTATGATCAGAAATCTGAAATCAATATTAAGCTTAGTCACCTTATTCTTTTGAGAAAGTACTTTGAGAAATTTGCAAAATTACAATTCAGAGCTGCATTATAGGTTAGTTAAATACACTCGACTGGCAGAAAAGAGAATAGCAGCCCACAGATATTATAAAAGTCATATGCTTGGAGCAGAGTTCTACCTCTTTGGGTGAGACTATAGGACACCATTTATCCAACTCCATTAATCTCTCCCTACTTGTAAAAAGGAGCTATTCCTTCTCCTTTACTGTAAGTATAAAAGTATTTACCTTCTTTCAACTCCAGTAGGTTCCCTAGTTTCTTGCTGGTTTTGTATTATCTTCCAGTAAGGTAAAGACAAATTTCTCTAATCCCTCTACTGCCCAAAGCTTTGCATTCTTTAAAATAGCTCACCTTATATTTAATCCTATTGAAACAGGACCTACCATTTTCTGTGTGTCTCAGGTTACCACATATAAGCTGCTGTATGTCATCTGCTCCACGGTAACAGCTTACAGGCAGGCTGTCCTTAAGGGCTAGCATCTTCTACTACTACAGGGTAAGAATCTGCATCTGGGTAGTCACTACAGAGCCATTATGCAGGGCCACTCATCATCTGCAACCAATTTGACAGATGAATTTAAAACAGCCCTTCTGTTGCCAGAGCAGGACCCTAGGATGCCCAATGAGACAGGTATGTGGGTGTTTTCTCATTGAACAGTAATAAAACAATGAATGATCTCATTATCAAGTAACATTCTGTGCACTTAATAAGAGACTACACTAAGAGACTAACCAACAGAAGGTTACATTTTTCTTCCAGTAAGATTCTCATGAGGTATATACTTATAGAAACTGAATTAAGGTTGCACAAACACCCCCAGTTTTATGGCCTCCTCACTTTTTGAATCATGACTGAACAATCTTGAAGTCTTGAAGGTGTTTGTAGCCTTCTTCCTTTGCTGAATGTGCTCAGAGGGCACGCTTCAAAGGCAGGAGACAAAGCCTCATGTCTTTCTGTTCCAGTTCCATTCCTTGGACATTGACCAGTAAGGCTCACAGCAGCAATCATGTTCACTCCAGAATGGAGTATGCTCTCTGCAACTAGCAATTGTGTATATATTCAGAGTGCTGAAAATACAACTTCACACACTCTTACTCAGATACGGGTAGACTACCTTATTGGAACAACTTTCACCTGGAAGAGTTAAAAGTTTCTGGTAAAAGGGGGAGCTGTAGTTTCTAAGAGGTTACAAGATTTAGGTTTTTTGTTTTGCACAGATCAAAAAAACCCACAACTTTTCCTATTGTTCTCAAAACACGCTTAAGTTTTTAAAGATTCAGCCTGAGGGAGACATCTGGCATGGCATGTGTCAGACTGTTAGAATTTGGCAAAATTAGTAGCATGTGAAAATAGAAGTTCTTAATGGAAAACGTCAGGCACCTTTAACAAAAGATGATATTACCATAAGGGACTGAGAATTTTTGCAGCAGGACTGCTGCACTCAAAAAAAACAAACAAAAAAGCCTTCCTAACCCTGTTGTGGTTCAGCTGAAATCCTGTTAATGCCAAGGCACAAGTGGGAAAGTGAAATACAACTGTAAATAAAAAAAGGAAAAAAGAGGAGTAACATTATTCCAGTTTAGAGAAGGAAAGCTTAAATAGAAGTTTACAGAATCCAAAATCTGGTAGTGTCCTCCATTAGCAACAGTATCCCATATCTTTTTTACAGGTAAATAGCATGTTTTGACTATGTTCTGGAGACAAGACCAGCAGATAAGAAACGTAAGGCTTTTATTTTAAGGAGTTTAATAATATCATGCTTCTCACCACTTCCCCTTAATTTGCTTTTAACACTCAAGCATTACAGCATTGTAAGTTTAAACATACAGTCTAAGGAAGAAAAAAAAAATAACACTCAAAGCATTGAGTTCTACTTACTGAAAATAGGAATGCAACCACAGCTGTTTCTGTGCTGTCTGTATACTGTATGGAAGTGAGCCACCAGCTTAAGGAAAAAAAACACCAAACATGTACATTTATATTTTGAATGACATTTTAAAAGCAGCAAGCATCGTGGGGAATAAGCTATCTGTACTATCCTCATGACTTATTTTCAGAAAATGGTTAAATGCTCCAATAGTATAAAATGATATAAAGTTGGGGTTTTTTTTTCATTCTTACTATTTAGTAAGTTACTCAACACTACATAGCAGATTTACACTAGGAAAGAGAAACAGTATACAGGCTATACAATTAAGTCCTCTTAAAGATAAGTGCTTATGGGTACTTTTTTGTTATGATACCATCTGATATCATCAGATTAGAATCATTACCCATACAAGCTAAAGGGAATAAAACAAGCAGCTTTCAGAAAAAAAAAAAACAAACAAAAAAACTCCCAAACCACAAAACCAAAAGAATACAAAAAAACATCAACCAACATTATCAACATTATTTTAAAAAGCAATAACTTCTCTGATGAAATTGTATTTGTATTGATTTGGCCTTTGGCTAATGCACGTTGTGATTTCTTGAAATGGATTTAACAAAGAATCAGCCATGGCATACTGAGTTATATTAGTGTTGCATATCAAAAACATGATGCAAAACCTACTGCATTCAACCTGTCCTAGAAGACACTACAAGGACCTGTTACAAAAGCTTTACTACTCTCACAAATGCACTAACTGCAGGAGTCCATGGAGCTGTTAATTTGCACAAATACAGAGTTACATAATTCACTAAGTTATTTCACAATATGAAAGAAATGACAGTAACAAGTCGTTGTGCAGATTGCATCTCTGACTTTCAAGAGTATCAACTTTGCTAAACAGATGCTGTAGACAACCAGATGTATTTCAAAAGACTCTAACTTACTTGTAGAAATGATAGATACCTGTAAACTCACTAGCTGCAGTTTCTACATATGTCCAAACACTGCTCAAATCAGAAGATAGAGAGCTGAAAGCATTTTTGCTAGCCCTGTGTTCAAATTCCATCAATTGTTAGAAGAGTTCAACAGCTACTCTACTTCATACGACACAGGAGCATAGGCATTTGGCTTGGAACAAGAACACATGTTTATGGATTCAGCAATGCCAAAGAATCATTGAATTGCTGAAGCTGGAAGCACCCTCTGGAGATCATATAGAATAACTCCTTGCTCAAAGCAGGGTCAAACAGAGCATGTGGCTCAGTACAGTATCCTACCAGGTTTTGAGTATCTCCAAGAATGGAGGGTCTCCAACCTCTCTGAGCAACCTGTTCCATTTAAACATCAGAATACATTTTTGCTGTAAGGGTACACTGGAATCTCCTGTATCTCAATTTATGTCCATTGCTTCTTGTTCTTTCACTGGTCACCATGCAAAGAATCTGCCTCTACTTTGCATCCTCCTATCAGATATTTATACACATTGATAGGGTCTCCCAGGAAAGTTCTCTTCTCCAGGTTGAAGAATTATCCAGCTCTCTCAGCCTCTCCTTGTATGACAGATGCATCAATCCCTTATTCATCTTTGTGGCCTTTTGCTGGACTTGGTTCAGCATGTCCACATCTGTCTTGTACTGGGAAGCCAACAACTGGACACAGCACTCCAGATGTGATCTGACCAGTGCTAAATAGAGGGCATGGGTCACCTCCTGACAACGTGCCTACTATGCCCGGTATGCTGTTGGCCTTCTTGCCACAAGGGTGCACTGCTGGCTCATCTTCAGCTTAGTCACCACCAGCACTCCCAGGTCTTTTTCTGCAGAGCTGCTTTCCCACCAGTCAACCCCTAGTGTGTACTGATGCCTGGGATTGTTCTTGCCCCAGCACAGTACTTTGCACTTCCCTCTGTTGAACTGCATGAGGTTCCTGTCAGCCCATTTCTCCAGCCTGTACAATCCCTCTGAATGGCAGCACAATCACCTGATACCTCAACCACTGCTCTTGAGTTTGCATCATTTGCAAACTCACTTAGGGTGTACTCTGCCCCACCATCCAGGTCGTTAATGAAGATATTCAATGCATGGCCCCAGTATCAATGCTTGGCACACACCACCACTAGTGGCTGACCTCCAGCTGGCCTTTGTGCCATTGATCACCACCACTGAGGCCTGGCAGTTAAGCCAGTTTCCATTCCGCCTCCCTGTCCACTCATGCAGCCTGTACTTCATCAGGCTGTCTGTAATGTTACAGGAGACAGCGTCGAAAGTCTTATTAAAGTTAAGATAAACAACATCCAGTGCACTCCTTTCATTCATCAAGCCAGTCATCTCATTATAGAAGTACATCAGGTTAATTAAGCATAATTTCTCCTTTATAAATCCATGCTGACTACTCCCAATCACCTTGTCCATCATATGTTCGGAAATGGTTTCCAGGATTCTTTGCTCCACCATGTTCCCAGGGATAAAGGTGAGGCTGACAGGCCTACAGTTTCTCAGATCCTCCTTCTTACCCTTCCTGAAGGCAGGAAAGAATTATTTTTTCAGTCCTCATCAATCTCTTCCAATTGCCTTGACCTTTTGAAGACTAATCAAAACCAGCCTCACATTGACATCAGCCAGCTCCCTTAGCATGACAGGTGTAACCCAGGCAAGTCCTTGCTTTTGAGAAACAGAAGCTTCGCTACATCAGAATACTACAGTACCTCTTCCTCTTTCAGGTTGGCTGGGACTATGCTTTCTATACAAATATACTGACTTCATGAACACAAACATGGGAAGACTGAACAGAACAATTGCAGATTACCATATTAAAAAAATTACTAATGAGTAGTGAAACATCTTATTCTCCTTTGTATCTGATGTGCAGGATGACACTGCAAAGAAAACACAAGGAGGAGAACTTGGCACACTCAAATCTGAATTTTCTGCCAAAATGAAGTATGACTGGAGTTAGAACAGTGAGCAAGAGCTGTTTTTTCCTATACAGCAACATATGAACATGGCTATACAGACTTAAACATTATAGGCAAATGCCCGCAAAGCTTTTTCTATTCAATCACAATAAGAGAGATGGAGTCAGAGCTCCAGTAACAGTAATAAAAGGATTCTACTGCCACCTATTCTACCAAGTTCTCAGCAAGAAGACAACTTCAGGTTCATTGAGCATCAACCACTGAAGTGATTTTGCAGGACATTACGACCATAAAAAGCTAATAAATAGAGGTTCATGTGCTTACCAGGATAGCCTTCCAGACTTTGCCTCACGTTGTTCACAGTTGGATAAACCTTCATGGAGGGAGGGGGGGGGGGGGGGAACTTGAACAAAGCTCTAAATACACAAGGTGTCAATTTTTGAACAAAAATCACCTTAAAGAAAACTTACGGGGGGCGGGGGGACGACAACGACACCAAAACATTAAAAGCTTCATTTTTCAGAATGAATAAAATTACACTGCAGCTTAAAACTAGTTCTGTGCCAGTAACAAAGAAATTCTTTAATATTTTTGCCACTCTTGCAGAGCCTACCAAAATTAGCTAGCAAGACTCAAACAATCCTGCTTCAACCACTTCCATGGTGGTCAAAGTAAGCTCTTAACATTATTTTATGAGATTTTTAGACTCATATCTCAAATATGAGTATACAGGGGCAATTAGCACATGCTAAGGGCATAGTTTGACAACATTTGCTCCTTGATTTAACAAGCTCCTGCCACAAACTTGTTTCTGCCCCTCCCCTTATTTGATTATTAGCACAATTAACCAGGTTAGAAAATAATTTGGTTTATGTATTAATCACTCAAGGTTCAGTTACATCTCAGTAGCAGAAACAGTTGTATCTACAAAACTCAATGGAAGACAAGCTATAGAATAAGAATATAATTTTGATTAGATTATATATACACTCTAGTGTCATGCAGATGGAAATTATAGTACATTTTTATAGTGTACCATACACAAGTGTCACTAAGGGGGATCCTTATGATTTCAGGACAAAAACTACATTAATGTCCTCCAAAAGTTCAAAGCAAGTCAATGATTAAGATTTAAACAAGTGAATAAATGTTAAATAAAGGCAGCTAGCATCTAAAAGGCATACCAAATGAATTGGAACATCACATTTAAGGAGAGTTGTCACACTGCTGCCTGCAGCCACCAGGCTCTCCTGGAACTCCGAGCACAGCCATTTGGACCCATCAGCTCCCATTGAACCAATGCTTGAGAACTGTCCAACAACAGGCCAGGACTCCTGTGCTGGTATTGACGAAGCATGCTCTTTCAAAAGCTAGTGAGGGAAATTAAAACAGTTAGACTTCCACAGGTAAAGAATACCTTAATTAGTGGTTTGATATTGCTTCTGATATAATAAATCCTCTGTAATTCACTTCTGACAACAAAAGATGTTAACATTCATACTATCTATTTAACTCTGCAATAAAAAAAGTCATCAGGCTCTCCAAATAAACCCACTGTTCCTTCAAGAGAAGATCAAACATCACAAGTTTTATCCAAAAGCACAGAAGCCAACCATTAAATAATGGGTAAAAAGAATGCTAGCAGCTCTTCCTAAAAGCATGAAACATTAGCTTCAGAAGTCACAATAAATTAAACAACTAAATCTTTTTATATTTGGTGGTTGTTGGCCATAAAATTCCTCTCATATCCTAAAGCCCCAGCTACAATAGAAGCCTACAATAAGAAGGGAAAAAAAGAACAATTGAAGAGAAAATTGAAATAATCCTTTTAGAGGAGTTCTTTAGCTGTGAATGGAATTTAAAGTTACATTAAAAACAGATGGATACAGACACATATTAAGTTATATGTAGTGGCTAGCTTCTTCCACCTCTAGAGAGGACACAACTCAATGGCTTCCATCAGTGTAGTGTCACCAGGTCTATCTGCATTGTTACTAGAAAAATTAATCTTTTTAATCACAGAAACATTTGTCACAAGACCATCTTTACAGGCTTTTTCTGGTTTGTTGTTTTCATTCAGTGTCTTCCTAGGCAAAAACACATGCAGACAACACATATCAGAAAAGGCAAGCTCTTTACGAGCAAGGGGAGGTCTGAAAGAATAACCTTATGTTGAAAAGCAATGTGATAAAAAGACATTTTCTAAGTCATTGAAGTTTGCCATGAACAGCATTAGAATTCCATGTAAAATTCACAACGGAATTTGAAATAATGCCACTTCAGCAGGAGGTGCAGGTTGAAAATTCCCCAATTATGAGAGGCATTTAACAGATGACATAAAATACCTTACCTGATTCTAAATAAATACTGAAAAAGAAAGGGCCCTATGAACTTGAGTCATGTAATCTTGTACGAAGATCTACCATTGTGGCTTATATAAATAACGTGAGGGGGCAGGGTAAAAAAATTCATGTTCCTAATTATTCAGTTCATTAATAATAATAATAAAAAAAATCAAGATCTTAGAAACGTAGTAGAACAAAACTAAAAACCTGACTGAATTGATGACATCTGCTATGTGCAAACTGATTTTTAATTTGATGGGTTTTTGCCAGGTCATTAGGGAAAGAGAAACTATAATAGCCCTTAACATTTAAGTAAATAAAATAAGCCTGTTCCCTATGTGCAGGCAAGTCTGTATCAACACATCTTTCCTCTGCGAGTGCCTTTGCAAAAGGCTATATTTGGTTCCCAGTCACAGAAGACTGGATTTTGGTAGTGTCACACTGGTTAGAAACACCAACAGCAGATAGGAAGTCATTTGAGTAATGGTGACTCCTCAGATATCTGTAAGCACATGACAACTCAGACCACAAACTGACCGTGGTAATAATGCCCAGGAATATTATGTGCATAGTCTACACTGTCATAAATTCCAAGCTTATGTTATTGCTAACTTAAACTGTAACAATGTATTAAAAGATTGCTGATCACAGCTAGAAAAATTGAAAGCAACTAAAGAACAGTCTTCAAAATTATATTTACATTTAAAAGGATATTAATAAAAAAGGTTACAGTTTTAGTACCTTTCTGAGCCTAAGATGACCCCACTTTTCTTTATCACTACCTTGATATCGTCCAGGGGTAGAACCAAGCAGATACACTCTACAGAAACAAAAAACCACCAAGTTATTTGCAGCTATGGGGTGTTTTGGTTTGTAAAGCATTAAGGTATTTAAGTAAAACCTATCAGCAAGGTTGAACATAGAAGTGCAACCAGAAATATTTAATCTTTCATACTTAAGATTTACAATACAATGAAAAGTGGATTTTCAGCTGTATAATTTATTACTAGCATTCTATATGCTGTCATGCACCATGAGGCTGTTCTACAGCCTAGATAAGAACTGCATCTATTTCTGTGTATAGAAATGCAGAAGGCAGATTATGTTAGCAATAAACGCAAATAGTTTTTGTTTGACACAGAACTGGACATGTAATTTTGAGTAAAGCCTATCTATTGCTACATCCAAATCAGCAGATTCAGGTATGAGATTTCATTTGGGCACCTAATAGTTCAGATGCAAAGTACAGCTTTTTCAACTGTCTTCCTAATAATGGTTTAGTAGCCTGTTTGACTTTGCCCTGAAAACAGAAGACACCTGCCCAGAGTCACAACAAACAGATGTTTTAAGAAGCTGTCCTTACTGCATCTCATGCCTAGCTTTATTTATGAATGAATCTCCTATATATTTTATATGGCAAGGAACCGATCCTTATCCTAACAAGTGACTCTTCCCTAACCCATGCATAAACTCACATCAGCTAGGGCTCAGCCAACCTGTCCAAACTCATGCAGATGACCAAGCGACTAACAACAGTAGCTCAGGCTGTTAGTTCACCTGACTATAAGGTACATACTTTTTTTTTTTACCCCCTCCAATCTTGTAAGACTCCATGTAAAGAAAAAAGCACATTTTTTTATTTTATGTATTAAGCTAGACAATGCTTCAGTCTCTATTTCCACCACAGTTTATGACCTTTTTCAGCTTTTCTTTTCAACAAATTTTTGCCAGCTTATAAAACTGCTATTAAGCAGCCAAGGAGATTTACACTTTCTGAAGTATTTCAGTGGAAATGCAGGATGTATTTTTTAGAAGTAAATTAAGCATCCTGAATTATGTTAAGTAATATCAGCAAAGTGATATTAGAGAAGCCTGTTTCAAGACAAAGTATATTATTATTTAATATAACACTGCCTACCAGACACAATCCATGCCTATTAACAGGCAAAATTCTATACATATGTATATGGATTGAACTTCACCTTATAAATACAGAAGGCTATTCTTAATAAAATACCCATTATAATAACCTTTGCTTACATGATCCCTCTTACATGACAAACCCAAACAACATTTTTTGACTGGTAATTTTATTGGAGCAAATATTTAAGCCAGACTAACTTAAATGAAATTGAGTCCCTATTACTTACAGCTTCTATCAAGTTAGTGCTGATGCCTGTTTTTTTCATTCCTTTAAAATGTATGTTCATAAAACTAAAAGTTGGTCAATTCAACATAATCTACAGAAGATAGACTTAAAAAACTGGCTAAAGTTAGACTCAAGTTTGAACACTTAAGTCTGAAACAATGTAAGCTTAAAAAACAAACCCATGGTCTAATAGATCCTAACAGAGATGTTTAATTTTTTTGGAAAAAAACACGCAAGTTACTACAAACACAAGACAACATATACCTTGTCTCTGATAAATCATGTTCTTGAATCAGATCTATCCATTCCTTGAGCGTAGGAGAATTGTAAGCCAACAAGTAACTTATTAGGTCAGATTTAAAATTAGTTTCAGATTCACCAGCAGAACCAGTTGTTCCCTGAGGTAGCCTTGGATATAAAGGGCTTAGCCATATCCTAAAAACAAAGCCACAACAACAAGGACACCACACATTAACACGTGGTTTTAGTAAGTGATTAAAGCACATCTGAAGGTCCTAAATGACTACTAGACAAATTTATTGTGATACTAACTATAAAGCAACTTGCCTTTATTTTACAATTACAGAATCAAGTCTTACACTCAATATCATAAAAGTAATACTGCCAAATGAAAACAATCTCAGCACATTTATCTGTCCATACGTTTACAGCTTTCACCACTGTTAAACAGGCCAGGCTCAAACTTACCAACCAGCAATCCTTTTGTCAAGATTTTCTGTATGAATAGAACACCGCAATGCATTCTGCTAAGCTACTGGTTTGTGTAATGATACAGAAAAACACTAATTAGAGTGTCTGAAAGTTCTGCATAGTTTTAAGAGTAGCCCACAACAGTAACTTGCCTCCCAAGAACTTCCATCAGAATAAAATAGGGTGGGCATTATGCAGGGAAAACATGTAGCATTTCTTTCCAGTCACACATTATTGTAGCCATGGAAACCAAAGGTTCTGCATTATCGACTTTACAACATGTTGAGACTATCCTTTGTAATTCAGAAGCCTATAAAACAGAGAAGCCAGTGAACCGTCATATTGGTGATACTGCATATTATTGCAGTGTGCAAAAGCTAAAAATAAAAATGTTTTTCATGTTTGACAAGTAGAGCAACTTGTTAAGCATCCCAAATAGATATTTTCATGCCTTCTTGGCTTTCTGAAAAGCTAACTGCCAAAAGATACTAAAACCATCCCCGAGGAAAAGATTTAAAGACAAAAAAATCGGTGGCTATACTTTTGCCACTCAAAAACCCTTATGAGAGCTTGCCTCCGACAAGTGAAAAGCCTCAAAACCTTGCCATATTTAATGGCAGCAAAATGGACGTCACAGTGACAGTAACTTCTGAAAAACATTTTCAATTAGTTTGATGAAGAAATCTTATACCTTGAGTTACTGTGGAGATAACTAAAAAATGCACCCATAAAAATAGTCAAGAAAACAAGATGTTGAGGGGCCTTATATTAACATGTCACTTAGTCCTATTTTTTGTGGTCTAAACAAAACTATGTCCCAAGCTGGCCGTTAAGTTTAGAAACTTCTACCAAAAAAAAAAACCCCAAGAAAAAAATTCTTTCCAAGAAAAGGATACTGGGTCATCTACTGTAACAAGGAACCAATAGTACCCAGCATTTATCAGGTTACATTCTAGATACAGTCACAGCAGAAGCAGAACATTTGCACATTTGCATTATTCTTACAGTATTAAGATAACTTTTAAATAGCTGCTTCAGATTTGTATGAAGAGTACTTTATAGCTAGGTAGTTTTTTCATAAAGTGACAGCATGGCATAATAAAAGACCTTAAATCAGTCAGACCAAATTTCAGGTAACAGCCAGCTCAGGAAAATTTTGTTCACAGCAGAAAGCAAGTAGAGTTCAGGCTTAGACAGCTACCACCATTCTAGGTTTGATTTTTTGGTTTTTGCAGGATAGCTCTATCTTAGGAGTGTAAGACTTGTAGCACTGGATCATCTGACCTAGTATCCTGTCTCCAGCAGTACAGAAAGTATTAAAGTGAACATACACCTGCTAGAGACTGTTGCTTACCCCTGAGTTTTCTGGTGCCAATCTTCAGCAATAAGATTGGATGTATGTATGACAACTCGAAGACCTTCCTCATATAACAGCAACATCATTTTCCTTTAAAAAAAAAGATATAGAACACTTCATCTATTTCAAGTACACTGAGAGTATGAGATAAATTACCAATTCATTAAAATGCTCCAAGATAACTATTTTCAAAAGATTTGTTCTGCATAGTGTAACCACTTAGACTCTATCCATGTGCATGCCAAACTCACATGACAGTCATTAGACTATTGCCATATATTTTGTCAGCAGCATCACACAATATATTCCAGAGTACAGTTTAACATCTCATGCAACTGGTTTCCAAAAGCAAAAATGAATACTTGTGGAATACCTTCTATATTTGCTATGTTCTTCAGATAAACTTATTCCTTACAGATAGCTAAAAAAAGAATTAAGGAACACTAAAAGGCCTTTGCTTATAGCTGAATTTATTAAAACATAGTTCTTTTCTCTTAAACTGACAACTTTTAAAGTAAAAGAAGGTATGTAGGTAACTATCCATTGGGATGGCAAAAGCTATTATCTACCATAAATCTAAACTCAAGCTACAGCAGAAAGGAGTTTTAAAACTAGTAACGAAGTTAAAAATAGATGTCTGTATTTTTTCTAACATAAAGGCTCAAATTTTCATATACAAGTTTTCAACAGTTGTGTAAAGACAGCATATCCATGTGTCCTTGAAGGATGATATAGCTTCCATAGAAAACTGCTCAAGAATAAAAGCTGTAAGCAAAAATACACTTATTTTCATTGCTGTCCCATGGCAAGATAATGCTATGCAAATCACATCAGTCTCAAATTCAGACAATTATTTATTCAGTAATTTCTGCTTTTAATGTTAGAGTTCAGCAAACTAACATTCAGGTACCTGCACACGTTCTCCTGTGCTGAATGCATAGTTTATGCAATACGCAAGACCCCCTAACTATAAAAATAGTTTGCCACATCTGTGCTATGCCTTGATCTAAGCACAAATTGAGTTGAAAGTAAAATAAGTATTTTACAGCAAAATAAAGTGCAAGATTAAGGTATGTAAAAGTGATAACTGACCAAAACACCACTACCTCAAAAAAAAAAATCACCGACGTAATTTTTTATATCATACAACAGGAATGACATGAATTTAAGTCTTTATATTTGATGGGCTGAAATCTGTTAAGTTTCCCTTGGAACAAAATTGTTTCATTACCTACCAAGATCCAATTTACTGGTCTGCCACCCACTTGTTGTGTTCCATCTGCAGTGGAACATGCATTCAGAAATACACTACCCAGAAGAAACCTTTAAAATATAGGGTTAAAGAACCGCAGCATTTAAGACCACTATCACTTATTTGTCCTAAAGTGTGGTGAAAGAAAAAAAAAAAAAAAAAAATTGAAGTTGAGCATACAGAGAATGAGAGCTGCTGCTTGAACTGCTTAAGTAAAATAAGCTAAAGCTTTAAAAATGATCAATTTGAAAAACCACCTCAGTTCCTTCTATGTCCCTCACTAAACCTGAGAGAAAAGTAAGACCCATTTTTTGAATGCTGATTTCTTTCCTTTATTCGCATATTCTTCTCCAAAAAGACAATGAGGAGGTGAGTATGCTTTCTACCAGAAAGACAGATGCACCTTAAATGGGCATTTCAGATCAATGTTTTAACGTAATGTCATGTTTTACAAAACAAATCATACAAACGGACTAATTGATTAAAAAATACTGCAGTGCCTTGAAACCAAAGATCTTTGGTATGAGACATAAAATTAAATCCATTCTTATCTCTAGCTTGCAATCTACAATATTCCCTTTGTGATACTTCTATAACATCAAATTAAAGTCTCTTCTTTGAAAGGACCCCAAAATTCAGTAATTATTTCCAGATGCTCCACGACAGCTGCAAAAGCTGAGCAGCAAATCAGTGTTGTGTCCAACCTGCCAATGACTGATCAAGTCTCCATTACAGTTTAGGTATTAAGGCATGAGTTAAGAGCCAGGACCTGCAGTTCACTGACTTCAATTGTCTAACTTGCACATCTCATATCTACCTAATAGCAGATTTGTTTCATTAAACTAGAACAATCCTATAATCTATAAATACAAAATAATTAAGGACATTTTTCTTTTAAGACTCATCAATTTCTATGAAACCCAGTTTTATGGCTTTAAAATTACTTGCAGATAAATTAAACAGATACACATAGAACATGAAACATACTACTTTTAAATTTCATCAATGTACATTAGGCCTTCAGAATTGTGTTTTCACAAACAGTAATAACCTATCTTCCTATCCTATAAATACTTCAAGACACTAGTTAGTAGTCCAATCATGGTAACTGCATGTACCAATGCTGTGGTCATCTTTAGAAGTGCAGCTTCCTGCTTCAGAGCTGTTACTTACGTATGGTGAGTTCCAAATGCAATATCCAGTTTAGCCTATAAAATTAAAAAGTTGATCATTAAAAATTCCTATTATGCATTCCTACATGTTAAAGTAGTGCTTCATTTTGTTTTATTTCACTGCTCTCTAGTGGACAGAACACAAAATACATTATTTTCCCCCTCAACATCTTTAAATGTACTCTGTAATTTCCAGAAGTTAGTCTTTAAATGGCAATGCAACTGTTTGCTGGAACTGCTCCAGCAGAATTTCTGGTCTCATACCAGCAGTATTTTCAGAAACGGCTTTGCAGAAAAGGACCTGAGGTTCCTGCTGGTCACCAAGTTGAACAGGAGCCAGCAATGTGCCCTTGAAGCAAAGATGACTTAACAGTGTCCTGGGCTGCATTAGGAGGAATCTTCACAGCAGTTCAAGGGAGGTGATCCTTCCCCTCTACTCAACATTGGTGAGGCCACACCTGCAGTACTGGGTCCATTTCAAGGCTCCCCAGTACAGGAGAGACATGGACATACTGCAGAGTCCAATGAAGGACCATGAAGACAATTAAGGGACTGGAGCATGTCTGCTATGAGGAGAGGCTAGGAGAGCTAGGGCTGTTTAATCTGGAGAAGAGAAGGCTCAGATGAGATCTGATCAGTGTGTATACATACCTAAAGAAAGGGTGAAAAGAAGATGGAACCAGGCTCTTTTCAGTGGTGCCCAGTGACAGGACCAGAGGCAGTGGGCACAAATTGAAACACAGGAGGTTCCCTCTGAACATCAGGAAACACTTTTTTACTGCAAGGGTGACTGAGTACTGGCATGGGTTGCCCATGGAGGTTATGGAGCCTACATCCTTGTAGGTATTTAAAACCTATCTGGACATTGTCCTGGACAACTGGCTCTAAGTCACCCTGCTCGAGCAGGAGAGTTGGATCAGATGACCTCTAGAGGTCCCTTCCAACCTCAACCACTCTGTGATTCTGAAGCATATGACAACTGTTAAAAGCAGTTTAATGGCTAACATTGCAAAGAAAAGACAGAAGCCAGAGAGAAATGCTTTTTTATCAGTGTTTTGCTTTTACTAAAGAGTATTTACAGCACAATTTCTAGAGAGAGAATGAAACATGAGTTACAGGTGTTAAGAAGATACTTTACCCAATGATGGCTCCAACATCGTGCCTAGTTAATATGGGCATGGAGGAGAAGATGAAATGTAAATATTTTCATTTTGGGGTACTACCATAACGGAATGCATGTAGACTACCAGAAGAATCCAGAGCAGTACACTCAAATAGGAAAACCATCACAAACACACATTTTCACCTGCTACTTGCTATTAATTACACTGACAAGTTTATCATATAGAACATACTACATTTAAATTCTTGTTGTATGTGAAAAGGAAACATTATATGCAAACCCATTAATTTATTGTTAGCATATTTGAAACCTTAATCTAAAATTGTTGCTACTCCACAACTTAGTGCAAACACCTGATTATTATAGCACACAGCAGCCCAGAAATCCTGGCCTTGAGAACTCACTATGTTTGGCACCAATACAGTGATCTCTAGGAAGCTCATGGTTACCAGACTGCCTGAGAAGGAAGAAAATTCCAAGCTCATCCTTCTCCTAATAAAGGGTAAGATATCCCCATGACCAATAATATATTCCACCCAGCAAAATCATGAAACACTGGCAAGCTGCCATAACCACATCCTTCCCCTAGGCTGAAGCCAATAACTTTACAACTCAGGGACAGCAAAAGAGTGAGCATAACATCAGAGAGAAAGTGGCATGTGCCAGGAAGTGCACTCACAGCAATTTCAATGGTATTATGGAGACTATTTGTAACAGCCTTTTCTTGTGTAAAACATATTTGGACAAATAATAATTCTGTGATGAGACTTAAGATTACAGTGACACTAGGACTAAGTTCTGCACTTTACACAAAAAGTGCTCCATTTTCAGCCATTGCAAGAATTTGAGTGTAACATGCTAGTGGAGAAGGTGTGCAGCTCTTCTGTGAGACCCATGACATTTTTGTGGGCAGCATTCTGTGCAAACCTTTTGTGGGTGACAGGCTACCATAACTACAGAAGACCAGGGACATAGTTACCATGTTCCTAAGGTCCTAGTAAGTATACTCCTTAAAGCATAACAATAAATTCCTGACTTCCCATACAAGGTACGTCTCTTCATCCATAACAAGATTTTGAGTGCAACAGATAGCTTAACTTCAGCCAAAGGATGATACAAATGTTAGTTACCTGACAAAAGCTAATGTTCTCATAAGGGCGCGCTTGTGCAAGCAGTTCAGCTTTGGATTCTCTCTTTTCACCATGAACTATCAGCAATGGCTTCTTCCTTAAATAAAAGGAGATTACTATTAAAACATCAAATGAACTAGTAGTCTAAACCACTCCTTCATGTAGCTATGACTTCTGGCCCCTAAATCTGATAGCCCAGAAGGAAGATGGCACTAAAGTCTATGTGCCTCATTAACTATCTCAAAAAAGTAGTAACTACAATAGGACCTCTAAGAGAAAGACACTAGAAAACTTTAATAAAAAAAAGGGAAAACAAGAAGCATGGAGTAAACCAGACACCAAAATAGAAACTAGTAATACAAGATCTTGTAAGGAACTCTTGTCTGCATAGCTGGAAACAGACAAATAAAAGCTCTCAGAAGTATTGATATACACAGTGTGTATCCAAGAAAATTTAATCATTGTTACCTTACAGAGAAGACAGGAAGAATGAGAGGGAAAAGGAGAGGGCTAGGTCTATTCTGGCAGTAGTTTCACATTCACTTCCTAATACTCTGTTCTACAGCATTTCCAGTAAAATGCAAAAAAAAGGAGAGAAAATTGTACGTCGTACACTCACTTCATTTGCAGTAGGCTGCAATTATCAGAAAGGAATTTCAAGCAAATGTAAGAACTGCTTCCATGATGATATCCAGCCACGCCAACCATATCATATCCATGACATACAATCCTGGATCATTTTTGCATGGTTTTCTTGTGCCCTTCCTATATTCACCCTTTCTCTTCCATTACCTTGCTCTTGGCTCAGTACCCTGTATGGCAAAAAACCTTCTTGTTCTGTCTTTACAGGTCATCTACTGCATTGCCATCATGGCCCACAATGGGACCTCCAAAGTGTTAATTAATAAAAATCAGAAACCAGCCATACTGAACTCTGACCATTTAACAGTCTTGAAAAGAGGCAAGAAATCAAGAGAGCTACAAGTCTGGAATAAGTGTACAAGGAAAACCAGGAGTCTACACAGACACAATTGGTAACAGTAATTTACAACTTATAACAGGAACTTGCACGAACAGGATTTGGAAACTATGTCATTTCAACTTTGCAAAATAAACATACCTGAATTCCTGTGGATACTGTCTTACAAGCCATCCCACATCTATACAGTAGTTAAACTTGTACATAAAAAAAGAAAACCAGACTCATTAAAAAGAAAAATCAGAGTTTGCCAGAACAATTAACTACAGCAAAAAAGGTTCCTGCGTAGTCATTACTCAATACCACTTACATCATACACAGCATGTTTCAAAAACAGGTGTAGTTTTTGAATTTCACATACTGTATTTCATGTCTCAACAATTCAGGAATGAATTTAAGTTATTTAAAAGCATGTATTAGTCTTCATAAAATGTAAAATGCAGAAAAAAAGAATCACATACGCCTAATGCAAAAGCTTTGATTCAAGAACCATCTCTTTGCCATGTGCTTATATCACAGATCATAGCAAAAGCTTCTATGCAATAACAAAAATACCATTCCTAGATTGCAAAGCTTTTTTCTTTCAAAAAAATCATTTACACGCACATAAATACACTTTTTTCAGTTGCATTCCCCAAAAACACAAGAGAAAGCAGTCTTATAGTTACCTGAATTCTAAGCAGAACATGGTATGATTTTTATATTTCAATAAATTTTTGTACTGTTGAAAACATTTAGAGTTCCCTCTGTATTTTAACAAAGTTCCCTGCTAATATCAGCTACATGGCACAAACATGGATTATCAAGTTTAAGGTTAATAAAGTGAAATAAGCAAGTGAAATCAATTTGGCAAACAAGAAACTCACCTGGGCAGAAGATACAAGAGTCCCAAAAAGAGGAGACAAAATATCTATTAAAAACATTAAAGCATAATTGAGTAAAAAAGGTTCAGGTAAACATTTCGCATCTTGAACAGTTTGATAACTACCACAAGTGCCAGATTGTTCACAGACTTGGTGAAACAGAGACATTCCCAATTAAGTTTACTGTTCTGAACATTCAAGTCACCAATTCTCCTGTGAAACCCTTATGGTCTTATATTTATAAAAAGCATGAAACCTCTCAAAGTAGAAAACAAGTTTTAAACACTCATTAGGAGGAAGACCAAGATGATATGGAGAAAGAGACAAATTACTCTCTACACTATAGTGAGGGTTTGAAGAACTGTGGCAGGGTGGAAGCAATAAGGGCATAGTTAATGCTTAAAGACTTATCTACTGGAGACTAACTGTAGGATATGTGTATCCTTAGTTCATTCACGGTAACACAGACAACTAATCTGACTGAGGATGTATAACCTGAATAACTGAAGCACAGCAGCAACTCAGAAACATATCCTACAAATACCTTCTAGGATAGACAAAATATTTCATGCCCCATCTCTACAGAAATCTGGTTTTCCAAGTTAAACAAAAAAACCTCAGCCCCTCCACCAGCTCAACTAATCACCTAGCAGGACAACTAGTCCTAAGAGAGGGCACGCCAAAAGCCACAATGAATTCACAAAGCAGATAAAAGACATACAGTAGTAAAACAATTGAGATCTGACACCAGGCTGCCATCAATAATCAACACTCACATGGAACACATGAAGTTGAGGAAAAGCTACAACCTGATTGTATGGGTCTTTAGTCACTTGCTCTCCTTCAAAGGACTACAAAATTTTTTGGCATTTTACTGTATTTCTGTACATAAACCTTGTATTAATGCTTGTTTCTGATTCTGTCTTGTGATGTATGAGATTTCATTTCTTAATGAGGGGATGTTTACAGGTGCACAGAGCTGTTCCCCCTTACATCAAACTACTACACAGCATTCCTGAAGCATCAGTATTGTACACTGAATACTTCACTCCGTCTTGACTTATGCTTACTTCTAATTGAACTGAAATGGGGCCATGAATCCCAGCTACAGAGCTTCAGAAGTACTATCTTTTATTGCATCAAGTAATAGTGAATTACTAGGTCCAAACCACTCAAGTGCAAACAACTACTCAGGGAGAATGGTTAGGCACACATGAAAAGCATCCCTTTAAAAGCCACGAAAGCAAGTGGTTTTCCCCAGATTAACTCAAGAGAAAGCAGCAATAAGCATCATATGAATTGCCTTGACTCAATGCACATTAGATTTGTACAGCGTAACTCACAAGTTACAACAGAATCGGTATCAGCAAATTAATGCTTTATACACTATACTTCCAAAAGAGAAAGGCAAAGGTAACAGAACCAATTCCTACAACTTGCACATTCAGAATATGAAGCCAAAGCTACACCAAGGAATATATGCATTTAAAAATACCCCACAAACTAAAAATAAGCATTGTCTTGCAAACAAGTCTCCCAAAAGCCCACTTCTGTAGAAGCCACTTGTTCACCTTTTATGTGCAGGGCTCCAGAATTATAGCTCTGTTCAATTCCTCTGACTTTAGTGAGAAAAAAACTAAAAGGGTTCTCTCCATTCAACAAATCCCAGGTATCTTGGGCTTCACTGGGTGTTTCGTTATACTCCTCTGCTTTCTGATTCTCTGAGAGTTCATCACCTTTGCAAAGATTCAGAAGATATTCTTTGGGTGCACCACATTTTTCTTCTTTCACTGTTTCTTTGCGGGCATGCCTTCCCCGATCTTCAGGCTCTTCATCACTACTAGAAAGACACCAGCCTAAGCCTTCTTGGCTAGTTCTCTGTTTTCCTGCTGGAGGTATTTCTGTAGAAAAACTTCTATCACTGAGCTTCAGGGGAGAAGCTTTTCTCTTGTGAGCAGCTTTCCTAGCTTCAGAGCATGGATATTGTGGCCCACTTGTTCTGCCACGTGCAGCATCCAATAGTGAAGATGTAGATGGTTTTTCACTGTCAGAATTTTCCTCAGTACTTTCATCACTGCTAGATACTGTCCATTTTCCGTGTGCACCCTCCTGAAGCATGTTCCTAGGGATTAAAAAACAAAACACCACAAAAATTGTGCATTTTTGCTATGCAAAAGTCTGCTTCCCTTCCTAGTTTTCATTTGCTTACTACTAGGGAACTTTGCCTTTTCCATTTAGCAGAATCTCCATACAAGTACTGACTCGGGAAAATTTCAGTGTACAAGGCTTATTCGTTCCTGTGCCCAGGAAACAAAGAAACACGTGCAGTGGGAGCAGCCATCAAGTGGGAAGCACCTAACGTGGAAATCTGCACGCAGAAAACAGGCTAGGATAGGGGCACGGACAGGAAAGCACTTCAAAATTCAAAAGAGCAATTTGCATCACGCAGGTATTTCTCCTACCGACCCTGACGCTTCGGGGTCCAGCGCGCTCTGCTGAGGAGACGCGGGAGCAGGGAGCCGAGTGGCGGCCGCCCTTTCCGGCCGCCTCTGCGGAACCACAGCCTGGGACCGCCGCCCCCCACGGGGCCCTCAGCCGCGCCTCTCCCCTCAGCCGAGGGCGGCAGAAGCCCGGGCACCGCCGCCCCGACCGCCGCGGGCCCTGTGGACGCGACCGCTGTTCCCGCCGGCTTCGGCGCCGCCCCGCGAGGAAGACAGAGCCTGCGGCCGGGGCGG